TACCATTCGTATACAACAAGCATACGACAGAGCACCTACTACGTTCGAATAAAGTGCACCAAAAATCCATAACGATTCCATCGCACGGCAACCACCGAAGGCCACCGGCGATTCGCACATTCGCACATTCGCACATTCGCACATTCGCACATTCGCACATTCGCACATTCGCACGCTTGAAACATCTACTGTCATGCCTCCAATTCCTATCAAGCAGCTAAAGCGCGATGGTTCGAACATCAAGCAATGGCAGATGCAGTTGAATGCATATGCAGATAGCAAAGATTACACCGAATGGCTCACAACAAGCAATTACCCTGCATGTGCGGTTGTACAACAGGTAGATGCCCAGGGGAACCCGATTCCATTCACAACAGAAGAACAGACTGCAATTAATTCATATAAAGCGGCCTTTAGCATATGGCGAAAAGCCGATGGCGAACTACGGGGTGCAATTTTGAACACAGTTGATCCCTTCTTCCTAGATCAATTGGAAGGATGTTCCAGCGCACGGCACATGGTACAACATCTAGTTGGGCTATATGCACAACTTGGAATTTCAACGGTAATATCCTGTTGGAAACAGTTCGTTGACTACCGATACGACGGCTCATTGAAAATCGTCGATTTCTGTGGCAATTGGACGACGTATTACAAAGACCTTAATAGACACGAGATTGGGGTTTCAGAAACAGTGGCTGTGCTACAATTCCTCATTGCTATCGAAGCATACGACCCGGATTTCACACGGCGGCAACGCGAACGCATTCGCAAAAGGGAAAGACTAGAGGTCTTTACCCTTATCACCGAGATATGCGACGAATCTATTGCCAAAAACCAAGAAGTAGTGCTGGCAGCAGCATTCAAAGCACCCCGTGCTAAAGCAAACACTACAAAATCGAACAAATGTTCGGAGTGCAAAAGGAAGCATCCAGGCGGTCCCGAAAAATGCTGGAAAACCCACCCAGAGCTGCGGCCAGAATGGTGGAAGGACCCAGCTGAACAAGAGGTTTCGAAGAAGGCCAACGCGGCTATTGTGCAGAAACGGGATGAATCCGACTATTCAAAATTCTGTATGACAGCTGCCGCGCATACTACCAATTCGTATGCAGGCCCTACGGCCGATTCGTATACAGGGCCTACGGCCGATGCAGCAAATACGGCCAGAACAATCGACGCCGGCCTCAGCCAAAAACTGATGTCATTTGCAAGCGATCGAACGTTACGAAAGACCTGGATTCTGGATACGGGATCTACTGTGCATATATGCAACGACAGAACCCGCTTTACAACACTAAAAAAAAGCACCAACCTCATCACAACGGGCGGTGCTGATGTCAAGATTCTTGGCTACGGCACTGTTAGCCTATACGTGCTACGACAAGATGGCACCGTGATGGAACTTGAGGTTTCAAATGTACAATACGTGCCCAGCATGTTTGTAAATGTTATCTCCCACACCCTAATACAC